CCCAACACAATGCTAAATTTTTCATCAAAAAAAAAATAATTGACCCGCGATCAAAAAAGGTTGCCGACCACTGGTGTAGCATATCCTGCTTACGAAATAAAATTTGGCATCAACATTATTCATGCCTGTTCTTTCGTCATTTCAAAAGTGAATGTTGAGTTTTGCCTGCGTGCGCAGCTTTTCAAACGCAGCGCGAGTAGCGGCCGCTATAAACGCAATATATATATACAAGATGAAATATATATGTTAATTGTCGACCAATCCTCTTCTAAAGTTATCTTACTTTTATATAGTACCCATATGTCAAGTCTTATACAAAGGGTAGGTCGTTCGTATGTAATCCTATAAATTACATTACAATAAGAGTAATAGTAATTTTAGTAATATTAATATTTAATGAACTAATAAGAATTTCCATTAAGTAAAGTTTTTAATAGCAATTAAACTACAGTTCATTTATGGCATAAGTCGCTGCCGACTAAACCTTTCGCTCAATACCAAAAGCTTATGAGGCCGGCTGGGTTAAGAACATTTAAATCATAGTTGCAAAGTTATTTCTTGTTTAAGTGAAAGATCTAATCGGCAGCGTAACCGACTTATAACGCTAAAATTCGGGTTTCAATACCCACGGTGGGCAGTGCATAGATGCCCCATTGTATAGCTTTGTGCTTAACAACGAACAAACACATCATGAGCAGCAGCGTACAGCAAATGAAGTGGTTGAAGTGCTGTTATACGCTCTTATTACTTAAGTTCTGTAATAGACCATAAAGCAGTATATCCTTATTATGATATAATATCATGTCTATTACCTGTTGTATTATCGACTACGTATAAAACAGGAAGTGACATTATTGTGTTATAGAGTAAAAAATGTTATATCCAGCATTATAGTTACTGTATAACAAAACAAAAAGTTAATATTATTCCTGAACCAAAAACTAATCGAACAGTAAGGCAATTACTAATAGCTAAAATCAACCCTAACAATATAAGAATAACAATTGAACTATGCAATCTAAGTCTTACGATGCAACAAATATTATTCCTTAGCTATGTTCTAATCTTGAAATAAAAGAATTTCATTCCTAAAGTACAGTTAACCTTCCAAACATGTACCATCCAAGTAAGTAAAAACTCAATAACATTTAGGTAACAACAGTGTAAAGCAAAACCGAAACAATAACGATACAACTGTATAGCACAGTCCAGCGAGATAACTAATAAACGATATCCCTACAGAAAAGTTTAACTTATCAATAAAAACAAAGAAATCGTTGATTTCAGCAATAAACCAATGACACTCGTTTTTACTGTCGAACCTAGTAACAAAGGGTAGACGTTTTTGTAACTGATGTCTTAACTAGTAATAAAACAATGACACTCATAATTACTTTTCAACCTAGTACCAAAGTGAAGACATTCTTGTAACTGTAGTCTAAGCTAGCAATATAACAATGACACTCGTGATTGTTGTTCAAACTAATAACATAGTAAAGACATTCTTGTAAATATAGTCTAAGCTAACAAAGAAACAATGACACTCGTGGTTACTGTTGAACCTATTAACAAGGGGAATACATTCTTGTAACTATAGTCTGCTTATGAAGTTAAAAATTAAATTTCTTTAGCTGCTACTTAACCTGGTAGAAAAATTATGGCATCTCTATAGCTACAGTTGGTTTATCAATAGATCAGTGTAAAACAAAATGTAGTGATCGTCTTTCTTGATCAAAGACATTGATGAGGAAACTGTCATTCCTGACAAACCGGAAACAAATCGTGGTACTACATACGAATACGGTAGAACATACTTCTCTGCTTGTGTCATCAGTAATAACAGAAGTACATGGTGAAACTCGATACAGGAGAAACGTTGTAACTCTACTATATCTGAAGTCGGTAACATGTAGCTTTGAAATCTGATTCAATTAATTAACTCAGTTATTGCAAAGCATTCTACAAGTCTGGTATAACAATTACTTTTCGCCATTTTGACAAATAATTGGTCGAAATAAGGCTTTAATTATTTTTCACTTACTTTTTCATGGCATGTATGAACTCATCCTTTCCAACAAAACTGGTTTTCAAATTAATTGAAAATTTATCGATTGCAATAAGAAGCACAACCATTACTGCCTAGTAAACTTCCTAGCAAGTGAATTATTTTTGTATTGGCAATGCTTGAATATTAATTCCGAGAACCTTTTAGAAAATAAATTCCCGCCCTAACCATTTTTATATTCTTAACACTAAGTTGATAGTGCCATCTCTGAGTAAAATTAACAATTATATTTTTAAACGTTCCATCCTTTTCAGATAAGTGCATATTTTTATGGGAATGTTAAATCATTTATAAGGCGATTTTTTATGGGAAATAACGTTAAAAAATACTAATCAAATATCTATAATTTTAAGATAGGTTAAAATTTGTCATTTTGTTCTTCTTTATCGTGACCTACAAATGAGAACAGAATTTCTGTTGATGATCGTCATTGGCCTTTGGATCGTTCATATAACTCTGAGTGGGAACTTGATCCTTATTTCTATTAACTTTACTGTTCACTTATTAAACATTTTCTGAAAGGAACCTTACTGTCGTTATTTAAAATAAGGTGTCTATTTCAGAATGTCTTAGTCTTTGGGCGGTCTTTCAATGTCTTGGTCATTTACCTAGATAGATGTTAGACAGTTTTTATCTCAACAAGATTTTCTAACAGAAAATTAAAATTGCTCACTGAATCCACTAAAGAAGAGCTTTCAAAGTTAAGTCAAAAGTCTGTAATATCTGGACTGAACAGTTCCATTTATATTTAACCAGACGTGCATAACTGAACACGATGACGACTGAAGTAGTTAGGGCCCCACCTGCGCGCATCGCCACCCGAGAGTGCCACACTCATGTCGACCTCAGGCAATGGGGAAGAAAATAATGTTATCAGAGACGATGATGTCATAGTTCCATGAAGTGTCACCATATGGCGAGCAATAGGGAAGGGGTAAAGATCATATGTCACCAGAGAATATGACACCATAGTTCCCCAAAGTGGCACCAGAGTGTGCATTGCTAGGCTTCCATAATAGGCGGACATGATGTCATTGTTCTACCAAGTGGAACCACATGTCTCAACAAGTAATCAACGGCTAGATTTAATTATGTTCTACAATCAATTTATGTATAAAACTCTTATCTAATTCATTAGTTATATATTTAATAATATTTTTTAACATTTCCTGACCTTTTATATGCAAATCACTTATCATCCTGAAATGTATGCTTATATAAATCTTTAAATAATTTAACATAACAACTTCCTGTTTCACTAGTTTGTCCTTATGCTATCCTTATAACTAGTTACTAAGAAAAGTGTTTCTATAAATGGAAAATGATGAGCTCATTATCTTAACGTGTCAACAATGTCTATATTCAATTACATGTAAAACTATTACTGATTTAACATTATGAAATATTCTAGACACAAAATATTCTGAACACTTTATTAAGTTTCTCACAATAAAGATTCTGCAATCTGATCTACATAAAAAGGAACATCTATTAAGGACATATTTACCTGAAAACGTTTTGTAACAAAATCATGAACGAACATATTAATATCTTTGGGGGATCCAAATTTAGATAGGATTTCTCGTTTCGACACATGTTGACAATGATCATGAAGTATAATGTATACGGTATTGTCATACTTTTTTACTAATGTGTCTTTATGCTATCCATGTAACTGTGTTCTTGACAAAATATTTCATTTTACACATTGTTACGATGCTGTATTTCTGTAATATTTTAGTGAAGCTTTTGTTTTGTTTGAAGTTAAGCACAAAGCTACGCAATTGGCTATCTGTGCTCTGCCCACCACCGGTATTGAAACTCGGTTTCTAGTGTAGTAAATCTGTAGACATACCAGTGTACCACTGGGGGGGCTAGTGAAACTTTGTTGTCAGGCATTGTAGGCTTATCGCCTGATTAATGATGTGCACCTAACTAACGATTTTTATCACGAGCTATATTTTATGCACGTGCTGTGTAAGGTTATTTGACATTTATATGAAAGGTATCAAGTTTCCATTAGAATAGAAGAGAGGTTTTTTAAAAGTCTTAATGTTTGGGCATAGTTTAGTTTGAGTGGCCATTTGAGACAGATGTTTCTGTAGCGACTAGGAAGAGTTTGTGAACCTAGATATTAATTGTAGGTTTTTGTTATATGCTAACATTAGCTTATTTTCTTTGACTCTAACTTTTGCAAGTTTTATTGCTTTTGAGAACTTTTAAAAACTGTTTTGAAAATATTGGCAAGTTTTGGTGCAGTGGACATTTGAACAGGGAAAACTTTTGTAACCATACATCTATTTGTGAATTGGAACTTTGACTTTACGTCCTGAAGCTGAATTTTGACATACTACATGTTTGAAGTGATTGTGTTTGAATTTAAGAGACAGTTCCGACGTGGATCTACCAAGAAAGAGTGATTTATTTTGTATTGTATTTTTTGTAAATTATTGTATATAACTTAATATTTGATGTTTAGTTTTTTATAATATATTTCTAGATCACTGCCACCATGTAACCACTGCAATGGCAAGAGAATTTTCATTAGTACCTGGGTCACTGAAGAAGTAAAAAAAAAACGGTGAGTGTGGATACTAGGTAATAAAGATATATGAAATTTCGTATTTTCCTCTTAAGTCTAGAGATCATTTTTAAGAACTATATTGACATGTTTCTTAAATTAAATCAAGAAAGTTCTGGTTGGCCATTTCACTGTGTAACATAGGAGACATAAAATGTTATGTCACCCATTATAATGAATATGAAGGAGTGCAGCTGACCACAGAAAACATAGTATTTAGTCCAGGAAAAGGTCATTTGCAAAATTATGTCTTAATTCTTTTTGCTGATGTTGGGGTATGTCTGAGGACAAACCACAACTTGTCTATGTAACAACAGTTAACCAGTATCACTGTTAATGAATGGTAACAATAAGATAATAACAGATGTTATTTCTTCTTGTTTCTTTTCTCGTTCTTCTTATCTCTTTTGCTGTTCTTGTATAGCTGCCATCAAATCTGCTAAGCTGTAGTTTGATTTGCCACTTCTTGTTTCCATCTTTTTTTTTTTCATCCCACTCTCTGACACCAATTTGTTGGGTATCTGCTATTTGTTAATTTCCGGTATAAATTCTTTCT